AAAGGTTGTTTTTTTTATCAAGTGTTTGTAAAAGTTATTCCAATTTAGAATTTCATTGCAAATCCAAAGGAATAGTAGAATAGTACCCTGAATCTGAATTTTTTTATTATTTCTAGTGCAAATGAAATATTTCTGAGCGCAGAATGAAAACATCCTGCCCTCTAGTGGCGAAAACTCCAACCTCCATAATGGAGATGAACACATTCGGTTGTATTATTTTAAAATTACTGTAGATGCCAACATTATTAAACTACATATTTTCGACCCAACTCTTCTTGTTTCCAGATTTCAGATCAAGTCAAGTTAATTAATTCTAGATTACAAAACATGAGACTAAACCTGCAGCAGAATATCTCATTTCGAGCTTTTGCATTGTGGAGCGTGTGTGTTGAGGCCTAATTGAGAAAATAAAAAGATAGCATTACAGAACTAATGAAAAACATTATACTTGTGAAGATAATCATTTCAAAGTACCCTATAAGTAAAACACACACAAAATCCCAGCTGGACCCACCAAAGGGTAAGATATTAGTTCAGAAATTATCTGAAGAGTGAATTCTCTCATAAAACCCAACTGGTTTTACAGTAGATACTGTTCACTGTGTTGATTAGCTTCAAATAGAACATAAAGAACAGGAAACCAAACCAAACCAATTATTCAATGAATGTTTCCAGAAGCATCAACAGCATCTGGAACCTGATGTAATCCTTTCTTTGCACAGCAGACTTTGGTCACTATTTTGCACACATGATGCTCTAATGTAAGGATTCACATAACTGCAACATTGGGGCGTTCATTACTTAAAAAAAGGACAAATCAAAGTTCCCATCACTGAGTCACATGATAGCTTTATCTGAAGCACACAGAAGGATTTGGGTGCACTGTCTGTAAGCTGTCACTTTAATCAGTGTAATCAAATACAACCTGTTACCCCTGTCTATGAGCAACTGGTTTAATGCATCAATGGTATAGGATAATGGGTTTTCACTGTGCTGTGTGGCAAACAGCGCTTAATCCGTAGTTAAACTTGTGGATTTTAACTTAACTACCGGTATACATTTGGACCTGGATTAGCTGGTGGCACCATTTATTTACCAACCGTTTATTTATATACTAAATCTCAATCTGTCTGCTAAAGCTCCATAAATTCAAATATGATTGGATGGGACGGATCTTTTCAATATTTATTAAAAAAGGGAACTATTGTAACTGTTGCAGCATGTCATACATCCATTCATGTTCACAAATCAACCTTTGTTTTTTATCTCAATGAGTGTATTTTAAGAATCTGTATTGTTTATTAAAAAGTCGCAAATTAACTGCAACTTTAGGCTCTCTACAAAGTGCATCTACACAGACATCAGAAATGAAAAAGAAAACAATGACATTAGAAACTTTTTTTCACAATACTTTTATTAAACATCTCAAATAAACACAGCAAACACAACTTATTAAGGAATTTGTTGCATGTTGGATATTCATGACATCTCAAAAGCCAATTCAAAACAGACAAAAAAGAAACTTTGGAGCTGATTTTTAAAAAGCAGACTTCTTAAATATTTATGAAACCTTTCTCAAAAATACATATATATCCAAATGATAATATCTCATCTGTCAGATTCACAGTTATAGCGTGTTTTAAAATCCCCTCCAGCTGTACAATCTTTATATAGTCAAGACTTATAAATCTTGCAGCCTCACTTGGGTATTGAATTAAATAATACTTCAATGGGATTTAATTTCTTAATAGATAGAATTAGATTTATGAGACTGCTTTAATAAAAAAAAACAGTTTTGGATCAGATATTAAAGCCTAGCCTTTTAATCTTTGTATACGTCTTTACTTAGAATCCGGGAAGCCTGATTATGTTATTCCAGCTTCTCTTGGCCGTTCATCTCGTCCTCAGCCTGTCTAGAGGTTCCTACACCAGAGATGGTCACCTGTGGCGATTCAGGACGATGGGTTCCAGTGGGCGCCTCGAGTCCCTGAATGATGCTCTGAGCTGCCTCCAAGTGTCTCTGCTGCTTCAAGTGTACTGGGGGAGAATTGTCAGATATGATTGAGAAAAAGCTGTGAAAATGTACTTAGCTTTTTTTTTTTAGATTTCATGTTAGTTTTTTTTTATTTACTTTTTCCTTACATAAGTTTGTAAAAACGAACCTCTTTTTCTGATGTTAATCTTCTCAACTTCAGGGATAAGAAAGCTGTACACCAGCTCTGACACAATCTCCTCCGACTGACAACTGTCCAAGCTACACAAAATATACACACTATTTCATTTTCAGCCTTTAATTTCCCCCCAAAAAAACCTAAACAAAGACATAAAAGTCATAATTTACCTTTTTTCAAGAGCGTAAGCAACATCGTTGAGCTGCTCTGCCTTCCTACGGATCTCCTCTCTGCTCTGCTCGTCAGCCACACGCTCCACATATCCCAAAATGATGTCCTCTAAATACATATCCACACTTTCCTGGTGCACCTGCACTATCTGACACATTAAAGGTTTATTTCTTAGGATCAGATTTAACCATATTTTACTTACATATTCATGCTGAAAACTAAATAAAGTTAAAACCCATTCCCTGAACCTACATTCTTTACCTTTAAACACAGTGTTGGCAGTATCATGGTGTTGGAATGCTCTCTTCAATTACACTTTTAGTTGAGAATAGCAAATAAAATCACAATTCTACTGCCTATATACATATATATATATATATATATATATATATATATATACATATATATCTTTATATATACTCCTGCAGAAAGGTCTACATGTCCTGTTTTCATTAAAGGTTTTTTTCCTGATGGCACAAAATGATGGACACACTTGTCTGAAAATCTCATCTCCTTCTCTGCGTCTACGCTCCTCCAACTGACGCCTCCCGCTCTCCTCTGCCTCCCGCTTGCGTCGCTCTCTTTCAGCCATCAGTGTGAAAGCGTGGATTCTGCGCTCCTCCTGGAGCAGAACCAGCTCCTTGGACAAGCTATCAAACAGCTGTGTGAGGGTCTGACCAACCACTGCTGCCTGACATGCTTCCTCCTGCAAGGCCTACGGAGGAAAAGAGAGGGTGCAATCAGAGGATTGGCGAGCTTGTAAACTTTATGAGTTGTTAAAATGTCCTTCACCTTGTTCATCTGCTCATCCCTCTTTTCCTTCAGAGTCATTATATGTTTTTTTTCAGCTTTATTTAGCTCCTGCTCCTCACTCTGCAGAGTGTGGAGTTTCCTCAGCTCCCTGATGAGCTCTTGATTGTTCTCTTTACCCTGAAACATCTACGGAACAAAATGGAAAAAAAGACAGACACAGACGATGCACTAAAACCCATGTAGGAAGGACTTCAGGAATCATACATTAAGACATAATGTCAGCAGATACAGACCTCATATTGGGTTCTTCTTCCTCTGAGTAGTTTTTGCAAACAAATTACTGCAAACTCTGTCTGCTCATCCTCCTAAATAAAGATACATAAGGCAGTTCACAGAGACCTTTTCTGAAAAAGCTCCATGCAAGTTTGATACTCCTCAGTGTTCTTTGTTATATTTAACTCAGCTTTAGTATTGTAAAATTAAAATATATTAACATATGAAATTTCTATTTATAGAGGGAGTAAATGTATGTATTCCCTACACCTCCAGAGATAATTTGCCCTTTCTTCTTGACAGAGTAATTCAAGCCTAGTCAGATTAGATGAGAATGTCAATGATTAAGTAAAAAGCCTTCCTTTTGTGCACCGTTGTCCCTACCATGCTTCATTGTATCCTATGTAGGTCAAAAAGGCAGATTATGTTTTATCATCTAATCTTCTTCTGCCATGTGTTTTATTTTTGTTTTTGTTTCCCATTATGACCTTATCAAGCTGGTCTTTACAGATCAGCTTGATAAGGTTGGATAACTAGATGGATTGTGGATTTTAACCTTAGGGTTTCAGAGTATAAAGGGATGAACATATAGACATGCCACAGTTATCAGAGTTTGATCTAAAAAGAAGGGTGAGGAAAATGTTTTCCTTCTGCTCCCATTTATGCAGAAAACTATACTCATTCAAGTGGTGTTAATATGTAGGGTGCGTGGGTACCTTCGGTTTTCCGCAATGAATAGATTAAAAGCAAAATACAGACTGCATCTAACTCACCTCAGGGGGGGTTTCTACCGTTGGAGTGACAGCAGCAGGAGGAGGCTTCTCCTTTTTGATCAGAAGACGAAGCCTCTTCTCTTTCGTTTCCACAGCCTCTTCCTCACTGAGGGCCTGTTTAGTGTTAATTAATAATGAATGTGTTGCCAGATTTTAGAATCTATACTCAGTAAGGAAGATCTTTACCTTGTAATCGTTAAGTTTTTTCACAGCTTTTTCTACAGCAGACTTCTTCCCAGTCTTGATGTCTTTAGATTGTTTCTTCCGTTGCTTAAAAGATTTCTCTACTCCTACCTGCTGTAGTTTTCCCTCTATTTGCATCCTCTTAGCTTCCAGTTTTCTAAGTGCTGCAGAAATAAGAATAACATCAGAGGCATCTAAAAGATCGTAAACATCTTGTTTAATAAGAAGGTCCCATCAACACAATTGGAGGCCTTACACCTCATGTAGACTTTGTGGATTTTCTCCAGCTTGAGATCCTTTTCTCTCAGGCGCGCAGCGTATATTTGGGTTAATCTGTTATATGCAGCTTCGTTCTCAGCTTCATTTCCCTGCAGCCGCAGATCCATTAGCACAGCAAGGCGGGCATCGTGCAGCCTGGTCAACAAAGATATGCTAAGGGTTTAGTTTCACATTAAAAAACAAACTATTTAATATTTGTTATATTTGAAAGTTGATAATAAAGTATGGGATATATACACAAGTTTAATAGAGAAGATTAAAAAACTTCCACGGAAATAAAGCTAAACTGGAATAGTAGTGTCTGAAGTAAAAACAAACAAAGGGAAAGTACTGATTTTAAACGCTAAATTGCTAGCTAACACAACACCAAGACAGAAAGACCAATATCAATCAGCATAGAAAACAAATAATTGCTGACAATGGTGGAAGGAAAAGTTCTAAACATTTCTGAAGTCCATTATTTAACAATAAAAATGATTAATCATAAGTTGCGATCATTTATAACAGTTTCCATCAGTAAAATTATCCTGATTTTTAAACTCAAGGTTACACTATGTAAGAAAATCAGAAGAAAAACACCTAAAATCTACGTCTTAGGGTGTAAAGGAGGAGTTCTAAATGTTAAACTTTAAGAAAACACAATTTGAAAATGTCTTAACATGTCTAATTTATTGCTGCTGGTAAAAAGTTTCTTTTCCTTAAAAGGAACAGGAAGGAGAGCTGCATGGTGGCACAGATTGGAGATTTAACTTTATAAATGATGTAATATCTCATTTTTTGTTAAGATATTTTGTTATTGTTTAAGAATTTTTTTTTTTATTAATTTGGAACTTATGATAATGTTTTTTTTTTATATATATATTTTGAGGTTGTAGATGAAAAAGTGTTTGTTGCACTCAACAACTGACTTTTGGATTTCCTCTTCCCTGAAAGCCCACTCCTTGGCCTCCATCTCCACCATCATTCGCCTCCTCTTGTCGAGCTGGCTCAGGTCATGCATCGGAGGGAGGCTGGCTTCCCAAACCTGCTTGGCACGCATCCGCTCTATCATTTCCACCTCAGCGAGGCCTGCTGGCAAGCCGTGACCTGAGAAGCAGGGATTAAATTGTATGTCTGTGAGATTTAGATTTCATGCTTGTAAAGTGAAGGTGGTCGAAGCTGATCTCACACCCCAAGTCAACGATGCCAGTTGCAGGAGCTCGGAGGGACCTGTCCCAGGATGCAGCACATACTCAGGGCTGTAGGGGTCAGTCTGCGTTTCATTTTCTCTGTAGTCTGTCTGAACCCCCACTGTGCGCTGGGCGGGTTGCTGCTCCTCCTCACTGGCTTCAAAATCTTCCCTGCAGTGATTTTACAGTCAAACACAGCATGTGCTTCGAATTGAAACAGTGATACTGAAAAAAGGTTAAGCTACTTAATAAACATATAGAACCTACCCAGAAAATTCAAATACAACATCTGGTGGAAAGCTTTGTTCAAACGGAATCACAGGACTAAAATGAAAGCAAAAAAATAAAAAAATTTATATATCTATTTTAATTCATTATCTATGCATCATTTTGTATTTTTAAACTCTCCTGGAGCAAGTTAAATAAATGCACCATGTTAAAATTAAAACATTAGAATAAATTCAGACAAATCAAACCTTTTAATGTATTTCCAGTAATCAGCACCGGTCACAGGGCATTTATGAGGGTTTGGATTAACTCTGTAACAAAGATAACGCAATCATAATTAGAATAATGAAGAAGCATTCTTCTACTGGAATGATTCAGAAAACCGAACTGCTGATTTTATTCACCCGGCCAGTTTCTGCAGGACCTCCTTGCACTGTTCAGCCCGTCCTCGCCAGTCATTAGCATAGGATGGCACTGCATCCAGTTTGAGAGTGTACCGAGGTTGGCTGCTAAATATAGACTCGAAATCAACAACCTTTCTCTAAATGAGAGAAAGAGAAAAATATAAAAAAATATTTAAACATCAAAGCAAGAATGTGTCACAATCCACTGCTGCTTTGTTTTAATTTGATTTAGGATGCAATATTGATGTCAAGGTCTTAACATTAAGTATAATTCTTTTGTGTGCCATGATCTGGACTTTTTGGTTCTGTGTAAGTTTTCATTTTGGGTTCTCAGCTATTCCTTATTTTATGTTATTCTGTATTGTCAAGATTAATATCATTTTTGAATTTTAAGTTTTAGTCTTCCTTGATATCTCTTTTCAGCATTTTTGCAATTATTTATTCATTTGACTAGTTTAACTTAATTATTCGTTCTCTTATCTTTAGGTTATGTTTTCCCTGGGTTCAGTTATTTCCAGTCCCTCTTATCCTCTAGTTTTTCCCTTGGTCATTCCTTATTTTTTGTAGTCATTTGTTTTATTCCCCTTTAGCCTCATTCATCAGTTAAACCCTGTTTTCCCTGTTTACTCTTTGTTGCCCTCTTGTGCCCATTTCTTTCCCCTTAGCTCCATTCTAGCTGCTTCTGTCCTCACCTGCTCCCAATTAGCTGATCACTCCACTCCTTGTTCTGTCTCCCATATACACGGCTCCTCTGCAGTTCCCCAGTGCTAGGTTCTCTTTGTTTCGTCTTGTATGTTTCTCCCGAGCTTCTCTAGTTTTTGTTTCCTGAGTTCCCAGCCTGTTATTTCTGCATTTATGTTTTTGTACCATCTGCTTTACAATTAAACCTCCAAGAACTATCGCTGCCTCCTCTACTCTGCATTTGGGTCCACAACAACATCCACCAACCCTTATATTGTGTTATGTTCATTAGTAACTATTATTATTATCATTATTAGTGTTTTCTGTGGATTTTAATTCATATTCTTACATTTTATTTTTGCTTCTACTTTTCAGTTTAGCTCCCTTTGTTCATTATGCTTTTTATTTTACATGTTTCTTTTGTCATGTCATTTTCACTCAGCTGTTCGGTGTGGCGTCGATTGGTCTCCCATGGTTTCCATGTCACTTTTATACCTCCTCTGGTTTCAACTAGTGGTGGGTTATTCTATTTATGTGTCCCCAGGTTCCAGGCGCTGCTTTTCTCAAGTCTTTCTTGTAGTTTATTATAAATAATACCATCTTTTTTTTTATGTGAGTACAATGCAACTTCAAAGTTGGGAATCAGAGTAGAAATGGGCTCCAGATAAAACTGTGTGCAGATTAGATAATTGCTCCTATAGTATTTGGGTCCAGGTCCTATATGTGGGTTAAGGTTTTATTACTCGGTTATATTACTTCTAGTCGATTTTCAAGAGATTTGTAATTTTCAGTGGCTTGCTTGTCAGATTACTTTTAAGCATAATTAAGCATATTTTCAGAAAGCCAGCAATTCTGAACTAAAAATTGTCTGAAGCAATATTCTATTTAATTCAAAAATCTAAAATACTGTAATAATCCCAAAGATAAAATTAAATGTCACTATATATTTGGTCTGATGTAATGTTCTAATCTTAAAATTATGTTTTTGATGGGAAATCGTCACAAAAAAACTAAAAGAAGGCCTTAAATCCATTTATCTATTTGATTATAATAATGTTTTTACTTTGCCTCTATAAAGATGGTGTTAAAGAGTTATGTTTTGGACTCTTCTGTTTTTATTTTACATTTTAATACTGGGTAATGCAATTGGCAGACACGTGTGAGTTTCAGTTCCCATAAGAAAAATAAAGTAATGTACTTAATGCCAACAATGCTCTCAAACTAAACACTTATATATCTGTATTCAACTAGGGAAATGCTGGATGGCACATATTTCATGTGATTAATATATATAGAAAAAAACAAAGTGACCTTTGCTGTCACCAATCCGCATGTCAGATTTACAAGTTTACTCTAACTTTTTCTGGCAGAAATGTCTCAAGTTTACCATCATTACTATTACTCTCCATTTCCTCAGGCATGTCGTTTTGAGAGTTTGAAATTACCAAAAGAGATCTAGAGATTGTCGTTATGTTTTACATCTAATCTTAAAGCCTGTAACTTCACAATTAGTTTATTATCACTATTTTCCTTTGTAGATATTATTTCTTGCTTCTTAGAAAATAAGAAAATGAATAGTTGTCAAACTATAGACTATGAGGAAAATACTTTCTTTATGGATATAAATAAAACAACTAATATAATATATATATATATATATATATATATATATATATATATATATATATATATATATATATATATATATATATATAAAGCCCTGACTGTTATGTTGAACAGATCAGTAGATAACTCCAATAACTCACGTAGTTCACAGTGGTCGCATAGGCTTTGAGAATGGCCCTGTTGCGGTCCACCTCTGATGACACGGTGTAAACGGGATCTGCCATATAAGGTTTAATGAAGGTAAACAAGATCAGTGCAGGATATAATCCAGCGTTTTCATAGCTTTCGCTGCATTCACTTACCATATAAACAGTCAAAAGGCCGCTCCGTGATCACAGCTTTAGTTGGATCTTTGGTCCTAGTAGTACTCTGGGTTACAGAATAACTCATTATGGTTCTGTGTGATTTTATCCAGTTTAGCGTTCCTGTTAGCAGCGATGTTGAAACTGTACAAAACGAAAAAGTGTCCAACCCCGTAACCATGGAGACGGATAGCGTTCCGCAAGAAAAGGGGAGGAGTTTCTCCCGCTGATGGGAAATGCGTAAATGCTTTGGGATCCGACTCGTTTGGCTTAGTTCACTGACAAATCCTTTTTAAAAAGTCTCCTCAAAAAATGTTACATAGACAGAGAATAGCACCACATTTTAAAATATGTAACGCATTAAGACAGACAAAAAAAAAAGTTGAGAGCTTTATTTTCAATGTAGCTACAACAATGTTGTTAGCCAACATCTGTTTTAGCAGCTACTGTGTCGGTGCTTTCATAAGTAGCCTGTATTAAAATAAGTGCAAAAAGAGATTAGAGAATGCTACCTTTCCTGGTGTTTGGGCTCTCCGATTTTATTCAAAATTGCACAGCATATTTTAGAATTAATAAAAACCTCTAATAATAATAAAAAAAAAGGTTTTGTAATTACTAATATGTTTGATATTGTCATGATCGTGGTGCTGGTGACTGGCTCGATTACTTATTTTATTCACCTGCCTAGCTTTGCCATGTTTCTCATTACTACTAATTTGTTTCAGCTGCTCCAGTCTCCATTTAACCTGCCTTCTACCAGTCATCAGTGCCAGTGATTTTGAGCCCTTGGTTAGAGTCTTCTAGCAAGTATTAGTGTTTTCTGATTACCTGATCTCAACCCATTCTACCTTTGGACCTATAAACCTGCCTGTTCCCGTTCTGATCTTTTTGCCTGACCTGTCTTCTGAATCCTGCTGGATTCTGACTGTTAACTGAACCTGGAACTAGTGGTGGCCAAATGAAGCCTCATGAAGCAATTTAGGCCTCCAATTTAGGCCTCCAATTTAGGCCTCCAACCCAATGTTCATTACTTGATGCTTCATTCATTGCTCATCGGTGACTGGTCACCGGCAGCACCAAAACCGGTTGCTGCAGCACAGACACTATGACATATTTCAAAACTCATAAAAAAAAATAATGAGTGTAATATTGTCAAAATAAAGTATTTTGTTATACACATGTGTAATTTACTTTTAAGAAAATAAAATTATTTATAGCCTACCAACAATAATCCCTTTAATACAGAAATGATCTTAGTTGATGTTGTGGATTAATTGTTGCAAAAAAGATGGACTGTATGCTGTCTATTCTTTACTTATTTCCTGGAAAGTTATCTCCCCACAAAAATGCATTCTTCAAAAAGTATTTAGTCTGTATCTCCTGTTTGAGACTGTGTCATTGCTGATCAAACAACTAAATTTCAGTGTATTTAGGTGTTAGTTATATTTATCAATAAATAGGACTTTTTTCCACATTGTCTGATTTAAGGCAGTTTCTTTGCCGGCTAATTTAGACAGTTTAAACAATAAATTATTAAATGAAGATAAGGTGTCATTAATGTAGATCAGCTTCAAACAACACATCAAACACTTCTCCTGAAATACAAACCAATATGTCCAATAACACAAAATAAGAGTTAATGAGGAAATTACCATCAGTTAGTGTGCAAACACACTTTATTAAAGCTTGTTTTGAGCAGTAATTTCAAAGTACTCCCAAATGGGATAGGTCTTCCTTTCTTTTGCTGGCTCCATTCTTCCCTCAGATAATGCTATTATGATATACTCAGATTCCATCTCCGCTGATATTCGACCAACCTAACTACAACAACCCACAGAGTAGCATGTTTCATTGTGCTTTTATTTTCAAATCTGACACGCGAAATGCTGCAGTGGCATGATAACAGTTACATGAGGCATCATTTGTTACCGGTTCCACAAGACATTCATTAGACATGCCCCCTTTTTACTTGGCACATATCTCAGAGCCTGGCTTCAGATGTCCCATTACTACCTGGGACTGCTTCCTTGGGGAGAGGTTAGTGGTTAGAGCAGTGTACTTGATCTCTTAGGAGGTTGCAAGTAACCGGTTCGATCCCCGCAGCCTCCACTCTGGGTTACTGAGCAAAACCCTTAACCCCACACTGCTCCCCACTGAGGGAAAATAAAGGGAATTACATTTTTTTTTTCTCCTGACATCGTCCTGTATTTCCCTTCGGTACCTCTTCAGATCTCAGATCTTCTGGCCTGGACTCCTGTGCATCTCCTTGACACTTGCTTTGGCTTCGCCCTCTGGATTATCCTGCCTTCCTTTGTCTGGATCTGATCTCCTGCATATTCTCTGGTCTCTTGGGCTTTAATGTCTGGGACACTCTGGGCAGTGTCCGCTGCGTCTTGTCGGCATTTAAAAGGCTGGAAACAACCTCATCCGCTATAAGAACTAGAACTATAAGACCAGGTTAGTGACTCACATGTTCGTAATCTACCCAGATTTGCATGATCACTAGCCTGTTTTTTTTCATGCAGAGGTTCCTGCCTTATGCTAAGTTCACACCACAAGCAGCACAGGCAGCAAAATCAGCTAGTTTACATGCAAAGTTAATGATTGACGCACATCACAGCACAGCAAATGGTCTCGCAGTGCGTCTTGAGCAGCAGGAGCAGTGCGTCTGAGCAGCCAAAGCAGCACCTCATGAGCCTCTGAGCATCTGACGCGCACAACGCACTTGAACTTTTGCTGCTCGACGTGCCACATCAACCAATCCGAGAGAAGCTCCACCAAACTGAGTGGAATGACTGGATGGATAGACGGAGAAAACCTGGGAATTCTTTAACATGGAATAGAAATCGATCATTGCTGTTTGCTCTCTCATCCGGTTATTTATGACCAATCATGCTATCAGAACAGAGAAAGGAGCAGAAAGCATTAGCGAGGAAATCGGACTCTCTGATAAGTTATCTAGGCTTTTACAATGGTAAACATACTCTGTCAATCTACTGCTAATTTCACACTGCTCAATAAATGTTTATTCAGAGGATGTATACAGGAAGAGGTGGAAAACCGTAAGGGATAAATATGCAAGAGAGCTAAAGAAAGAGAAAGTAAGAGAAGTGGTACAGCAGCAGATGAAGGGTCCTGTCCTTCCTTGAACCCTTCATCGCTCCCCGAGAGACCACCAGAAATATCCAGGGAAGGGTCGAGGAGGAGCAGGCCGCTGAGTACAGCCTGCCAGAGAAGCCAGAAGAAGAAAAGTCAGAGGTATTTGATGCAAGATGTCTGTTTAGTGAGACAGTTACAAAAAAGATCAGGTTCCATATTCCCAGTTTGAGGCATAGTGGTTCACATAAATATATTGACAGAAACAGCTTCTGGACCATCGTCTGCTCCTTGACCATTGTCTGCTTCTGGACCATCCTCTGCTCCCGGACCATCCTCTGCTCCCGGACTATCCTTTGCTGCTGCATCAGCAGGTGTGTATGGAACCAGTGACAACAGTGCGAAAATTAAATCTAAATAAGACATGTTTTCTTAAAATAAGTGTTTTGAGACAAGATCATTTACATATAAAATAAGAAAAAACAATTGCATTGTCTTATTTCAAGTGCATATTATCTAATTATCTTATTTTAAGAGTAAAACTTCTCATTCCAGTGGCAAATTATCTTATTTACCTATACAAATTAAGGGTAAATACACTTAATTAAAGATTTTTTTTTTACTTATTTCTTGATCATTTTGTATTAAAGGTGCGACTGCGTTCTGCTTAGCTAGTAAATACCTAGAAATGTGTTGTTTGCACTATGGCGGCCATTTGAATAGCTCTGATTCTTCTTCTGTCTCTTGTGGTGCAGTGAATCACCAGCGAATATGAAACCACTCTCAGATTTTTCTGCCTTAAGTTCCGCCTTCTCCTTTTCTGATTGCTTGTTTTCTAGTCTGTATGTGTGCGCGTGCGTGCTTGAAGCTTGGAAAAAAAAAGAAAAAAAAAACGCTAGAATACGGTGGTTATCAAAATTAATATTAGGCTACGAAACTAGTCCCAATTGCAAAACTTATCTAGGATAAAACAGGCAAAAGCTTCTAATTGCAGTTCTGTAAAGAATCAGGAGAGTGTCTTGATTTGCGGAACTGGAGAAATGTCAGTAACCAACGTTAGGATTTATTTTATAAAACTGAATATTCTGAGTCAGACGGGAGTTCTGAAGAATGTTGTTAAAATGGACAAAGACTGTAAGCTATCAACATTTCAGATTCCCTTTAACCAATATTTCTTTGCTTTATCTGTTTTCATTTTTGACGGCAGTTCAGGTATAGATAACAGGCGTTATTTTTTTGTAGAACATAACATGAGAAGAAGATGCTAGAGATCTGATATTTTTTGTTTGTTTTCCACATAAAAATTGTTCTATTTAATTGGCTTCTTATGGAAGCGTATTGCATTCACCAAAGAAAAAAATCTGACAGCTTATCTCATAATATTGAGATCAGCATCTCATAATTACAAGATATTATCTCTTAATTACAAGATCTTTCTCATAATTACGAGATATTATGTCATAATTACGAGATCTTTTCTCATAATTACGAGATCTTTATCTCACAATTATGAGACCCTGATCTCAATATTATGAGATCTTATCTCATAATATTGAAGGACAGTCATTGCTGATCTCCGCTACATGAAACGTGAACAATAAGTGGGTTGTTAGATTTAATCTGCTTTTATTTACTTTTAGGTATGTGACACTGGGAAATACCGAGTTTCCTTAATGTGGATTGAATTAATTTTAATTTGTCAGCATTGTAAAGTAAGTCCTTAGAAATTTTTTAGGTGAAGAAGTCAACTCTGACTTCACACTTTTCATGCAGGAGCAATTAAACCAGCACAGGCTGCTTTATGGTTGTAAATGAATGCGTCTGAAAAACATTTAAGCTGGCTTGGTGGTGTCACATAGAACTGTCCATCGATACCTTCTCAAAATCCTAAATCCGCAAGGAGAGCTGAGGCTTCTGTAATGACCTCAGAATGTTGGATCCATAATTTCAGGCGAGACAGGCAGTGGGAAAGTTCAAAGCGTTTATGGCAGAAAAAAATCACTCCATATCCACAGGGCAGAAACAGGTCACAATCAGGAAAACAGAACAAGATAATCTTATC